TTTTTTTTCCTTTAAAATTGAGTTTAAATTTAAAATTTTTGATTTATTAATTTAAATTATCAAATCGATTTTCCTCTCTCTCTCTCTCTCTCTCTCTCTCTCGTGATCAATCATTTTAAAATAATTTACGGTTGTTAATAATAATAATAATAATAATAATAATATGTGGTGTGTGTGTGTGTGCGCGCATATAAATAAAATGATTAATTTTTATTATCATAATCGAAGAAAAGAAAAAAAAATTAAGTAAGTCAGTTATATAGTAAATTCTTTTTAAATGACATCAAGTGTGACAGCACACATTAAATTCGACGTGGTGATTATTTCAAAACGATTTTTATTATTATTATTATTATTATTGTTATGATGATGATGATGATGATGATGATGATGATGATGATGATGTAGTTGGAGTCGAAGCAATTAATTATTTCAATTTTTTTTTTTAATTTTTTTTTAATTTTTAAAATTTTTTTAATTTTCAGGAATCGTATGAAAGGGAGAACGACTCTATGGGTACCCGGGAGCGATCACGCAGGTATCGCGACTCAAGTCGTCGTTGAAAAAATGCTTTGGAAAGACGAACAAAAAACTCGTCACGAAATCGGACGGGAAAAATTCATACAAAAAGTTTGGGAATGGAAAAACGCGTAAGTTTTCTTTTTTTCTTTTTTTTTTTTTTTTTTCCCTCCACTTCTTCTTGTTTAATGAGTTTCGAGATGAGACAAAAAGGAAAAGAAAAAGAAAAACGGAAAATGGGAAACGCGTTTTCACGCTGACAACAAAATTTCCAAGACGTTTTTTTTTTTTTTTGCTGACACTTTGGTAGTTGGTTAGTGACACGTCGTTTAAAAGTTTTCGTAACGATGAATAAAAATGTTTTGTCGTCCGTTTAAAATTTGTTCTCACTTTTACTTGTTTTTCTTTTTTTAAACGATTTCGATCGAATTTATATAATTATTATTATTATTATTATTATTATTATTATTATTATTATTATTATTATTATTATTATTATTATTATTTTCGAAAGCGTTTAATTTAACACCGAGCGATATAAGATAATTAAATTTTATTTATTTATTTTTCTCTCACTTTCGTTTGGCAACAACCAAGATAAACTCTCGAATTGTATAAAAATTATTTATTTATTTTATTTTATTTTATTTTATTTTATTGATGCTTTGTTTTCTCTCTCTCTCTCTCTCTCTCTCTCTCTATTCGATGATCATGTGTGTTATCATAAATGGTTTAAAAAGAAGAAGGTTAATAGACGATTATAATAATAATAATAAAAGATGTGAAATAAATTTAACGATAGCGAAATGTTTATTTTATTTTTTTGTTAACTGATAAGTAATAATTTAATTATTAATTGAGCGAATGATAATAATAATAATAATAGAAGATGAGTAATTAGTTAAAAAACAATAATAATAATAATAATAATAATAATAATAATAAAATTACGGTCTCTGATACGCCAAAAGAGTTTTTTTTTTATTTTTTTTTCTAAATGGGATTTAAAAGGAGGAAAACGTAAATCGGTCGTTTTATAGGAAAATGGTCGGAAAATCGCGCACGCGCGCAAAAAAAAAAAGAAAATTCGATGTTTATTATTATTATTATTATTATTATTATTATTATTTTCTCTGCGAAATTTTTATTTTTTTATTTTTACGATTGTCTTTTTTTTTTTTTTTTTTTTTTTTCGAATCGGTCTAGTAAATTTTAAAAAAATTACATAAAATTTTTCACCGTCGTTTTTCGTTTTGTCGATAATTAATAAAAAAAAAATAAAATAAAATGGGGGGGGGGGCTACCGAAAATTCGAGGCCGTAGAGTCGAAAAGAAAATTTTTTGACTTTGACCCAAAGTTTTTTTTTTTGTGTAAATGAGAGAGGAGGAGGAGGAGGAGGAGTGTTTGTCGAATTTTTTTAAATTTTTTGTTTGTTCTGTTTGCCAACATGGTGGTTATTTCGCTTATTAATATTCTTTTTTTTTCGTTTGTTTGTTTGTTTGTTTTTTCTGTAAGAAAGAGTTTGTCGAAAATAAGAATTTGAATTTGAATTGTCGTAAGACGACGACTCTCTCAGAGAGAGAGAGAGAGAGAGAGAGAGAGAGAGAGAGAGATGAAAAAAATTTAAAAACAAAATAATAATTTTCAGTTTTTATATTTTGGCGTTTTGTCAATGTGATGTTTCTTGGGTACACAATGGCGATGAAATGCCCCCACAATTTAAAAAAAAAAAAAAAAATTTGGAGTCTGAGTAATTTTAGAATTTGATTTTTTTTTTTTTAAGAGGTTCTCCTCATCCGTGACGTCCGATCCCCCCCGCCCCCCGCTCGTCCGCACGCTATTTCGTAACATGCAAAAAAAATCGTAAATTTTAAAATAACATAAATGTTTTATAATTTCTCATTTATTTTTATTATTAGTAGTTAGTTATTACTATTTGGCTGAATTTTTATTTTTTTGCAAACGAGAATTTTTTTTTTCTCTTTCTTTCGAGTTTCTTTTTTTTATTTAACAAACAAACAAGCAAACAAACGAACAAACACACACGCAAAAAAAAATAATTTAACATTATTAAATTTTAACGTTTCAATTAGTTTTTGCTCTCTCTCTCTCTCTTTCTCTCTCTCTCTCTTTCTTTCTTTCTCTCTCTCTCTCTCTCTCTCTCTCTCTCTCTCTCTCTCTTTCTTTCTCTCTCTCTCGTCCTAATTAATTTTATATATATATACCTTTAAATAATAATTAAAAAATTGACGTTTAAACTGGGAGCGATGGGGGGGGGAATTAATAATTATCTCTCTCTCTCTTTCTCTTTGACGTTTTCATCATTTAAATGAAAATTTAATTTCTTTCTTTTTTTTTCTTTTTTAATAATAAAAATACTCGGAAAAATTTTACGTCGAGAACTCTTTTTAAAAAAAATTAATTAATGAAACCTTTTTTTTTTTTTCTTCTTTTCTTGGTTGTTGTCGGAACGAGCTTTATTATATTTAAAAAACTTTTATTGCGAAATATTAATAATAATAATAATGATGATGATGATGATGATGATGATGATGATGATGATGATGACAAGAAAAAATAAGAAAGAAGGAGAAGGAGAATGAGAATGAGAAAGAGAAAGAAAAAGGATTTTTTTTGTTATCATCTCCTGGAAAAAAAAATTGTTTAAAATGTTTCTTTCTTTCTTTTTTTTATATTATTATTATTATTATTATTATTATATTTATTAAGTCTCGAAACATAAAAATGAAATTTTTTTTTAGAAAAAGAGAAAAATTTAAAATAAAATTTAAAATTTGGTTCACGATAGTTTAGCCGCCACGTTTTTTTTGGCATCGGTTTTTGTTTTGTTTTACGCGAATCCTACGCTTCATTTTTTTTTTTTTTTTTTTTTTTAATCAAATTTATATTTTTCGTAAGCTTTTGTCTGTTTAATTATCTGCTTCTGACGATTTTAATGAATTTTTTTCTTTTTCAAACGAATAAAAATTTAAAAAATAAATAAATAAATAAACGAAGAAAATTATAATTAAAACAAAAAGTGCGAAAACGAAAGTTTAAAATCAAGGGCCAAAAATTCAACGCCATCTTATCATTAAATTTTTTATTACTTAATTTTTTTTTTTTTTTTTTTTTATAATACATTATCAAATTCCTGATATGATGGAGTTCTATAGAACTATGGACGAAAAAAAAAAGGTACAAAAGTAGCATTGAAAATAATGTCAGGAATTTTGTTGTGAAAAAAACATCATTGAAAACATTCCAACGTTCACATTCGTCTTTACGTGATTAAAATATATTTAATAAATTAAAATATTATCAAGGAGAAAAAAAAAAAATTTAAAAAGATTAAAAGTAAATCAATAAATAATAATGAAACAGAATAAAGGGTGTTGAATTTTAATAGTCATAGAGTAAGATAACATATGATGAAATTAATGAATTTTTGTTTTTAAATAGTTTTGATATATACGAGAATGTAATATCGAAAATTTTATTTTATTTTTTGCCGGATTAAGGAAATTTTGGTTAGTAAAGCTTCAAGTTATTACGTTTCACTTTTTTTTTTTATTTTTTTTTTTCTAAATGGATTTTTAATTTAAGTCATCATCTATCATGTCTCTTAATTATTTTCTTTTACAATTTTTTATTTTAGAGTTTTTTTCCCCCATCCCTCTTTTTCACTCTATGGAATTTTTGTTTTTGTTTTTGTTTTTGCCTCCGTGTCAATAATAATTTTCGCGCCGAAAATAAAGTGGTTGCTTGTAAAAAAAAATTGTTGACGTCTATGGTTTTTATTTTTCAGTTAGGTTTTGTGGAAAATGGTAATTGGTAATTTGCAATCAAACTATTTTATCCTTTTTCTAATTGATTTTCATTTTAATTTTACATCGAAATTATGAAATTATTTCCTTTTTATTTTTTTATTTTTCGAAAGGTTTTTAATTATCAAGGTCCGAACGATGTAACGGAAATTTGAAAAAAAAAAAAAAAAAAAAAATTTTTTTTTTCTTTTGGTTTTGTCGCTTTCATTTCTGATTGAAAAGCAGTTTTTTTTTTTTTTTTTTTTTTTGATTTTCTCTCGCCTTGAGACAAATATTATTTATTGATTTCTTGCAATTAATTAATTAATTTTATTTTTTTTTATTAATTTACAGAAAGGGAGATCGTATTTCACAACAGCTTCGTCGTTTGGGATCTTCCGTCGACTGGGATCGTTACTGTTTCACAATGGATCCACAATTGTGCACGGCAGTCACAGAAGCCTTTGTTCAGCTTCACGAATCTGGACTCATTTATCGAAGCGACAGGCTCGTGAATTGGTCTTGCACCCTAAAATCAGCCATATCCGACATTGAGGTTTGATTGAAGACCAATGTTTTCTCCAATGGTAGATATGCACATGTTTTGCAGCATCATATTATAAGCATTGATATTTTAGGTTGATAAAAGAGAACTCACCGGACGTACTCTCCTTGCCATACCCGGATACAAGGACAAAATTGAATTCGGTGTTTTGGTATCTTTTGCTTACAAGGTAGAAAATTCAGATGAAGAAATTGTTGTTGCAACCACGCGTGTGGAAACGATGCTCGGAGATGTGGCTGTAGCCGTTCATCCAGACGATGCCAGATACGCTCATCTTCACGGGAAATCTGTCGTTCATCCATTTTGTGATAGGAAAATTCCAATTATTTGCGATACATACGTAACCATGGATTTTGGAACGGGTTTGTCGATGCTCAACACTTTTAAATTGTATAAAAAATTATAACGAATTATTTTAATGACGTTTTTTTTGTTTTTTTTTTTTGTAACTTTAGGGGCGGTTAAAATCACTCCGGCTCACGATCACAACGATTATGAAATCGGTCGACGTCATAACTTACCTCTTTTAACCATTATCGATGATGAAGGGAAAATCTGTGGAGATTGTGGGCAATTCACCGTAAGATATACTTTGGTCTATTTAAATAAAAAATTGTTGTTTTTACAAATTGTAAGAAAATATTTAATTTCGTTTACAGGGCATGAAGAGATTCGATGCCAGAAAATCGGTCATAGAACAATTGAAAAAATTAAATTTGTATAGAGAGACAACTGAAAATCCCATGGTCGTTCCCATATGCAGTCGATCTAAAGACGTCGTCGAGCCTTTGATCAAACCTCAGTGGTATGTCAAATGTGATGGTATGGCTGCCGACGCAACAAAAGTCGTGAAGTAAATGAACATTAATTATATTTAATTTAAATAATTTATTATTATTATTTTGTTTGCAATTACTACTCATTCATGACGATAATGAAATTTCTCTTTTTAAGTTTGCTAAATTTTTTGTTTAGATCCGGTGAATTGAAAATCATACCTGAAAATCACACGAAGATATGGTATAACTGGATGGACGGAATTCGTGATTGGTGTATTTCTCGTCAGCTATGGTGGGGCCACAGAATACCAGCTTATTTTGTAATTGTCGACGATCCTTCGATTCCTCCCGGAACGGTAATTTCCCTTCCTTCGACTTTTTTTTTTTTTTTTTCAACTTTCCTTCGAACGAAAATTTTTAATGCGAATTAAAATTTCCAACAGGAATTAGACAACAATTATTGGGTGTCTGGTCGAACGAAAGAAGAAGCCCTTGGAAAAGCTGCAAAAAAATTTAACGTGGACGAATCGAAAATAACATTAAAACAAGACGAGGATGTTCTCGATACCTGGTTTTCGTCTGCTTTATTTCCTTTTTCGGTTTTCGCTTGGCCCCAACAGGTATGCATTTGTTTATATTTTTTTTTTAATTCGGAAAATTCAAAAAATTAAATATTATTATTATTGTTATTATTTTTCAGACTGATGATTTACAAGCCTTTTATCCCGGTACCCTATTGGAAACGGGGCACGACATATTGTTTTTTTGGGTTGCCAGAATGGTTTTCTTTGGTCAAAAACTCATGGGAAAACTTCCTTTTAAGTAAGTTTATAATTTTAATTCTATTATTATTATTATTATTATTATTATTATTATTGTTATATAAATGTAATCCTGTAATATTTTTAAAAAAAATTTTCTTTTGTAGTGAAGTATATCTTCATCCGATGGTAAGAGATGCTCACGGACGAAAAATGAGCAAATCGTTGGGCAACGTCATCGATCCCATGGATGTAATCAAAGGTATCGCGTTGGAAGACCTTCAGAAGCAATTGGAAGAGGGAAATCTCGATAAGAAAGAAATCGAAAAAGCCAAAGCGGGACAAAAGCAGGATTATCCGAATGGAATTCCAGAATGTGGAACGGATGCATTGAGATTTGCCTTGTGCGCGTACATGACTCAAGGTATTTATTAAATGCGGGATTTTTAAAAAGTTGTCGTGATACCGATTTTATTATTATTATTATTTTTTTTTTTTTTTAGGGCGCGACATCAATTTGGATATACTAAGAGTTCAAGGATATCGTTTCTTTTGCAATAAAATTTGGAACGCGACAAAATTCGCTCTTAATTTCCTTAATGCGGATTTCAAACCCAAAACGACTCTGGTAAGTCAGTCAGTCGTCTTTACGTTACGGTAAAACGCTAATCATGGAAAGTCGGTTAAAGTTTAAAGGGAAAATGAATCGAATTCTTTTGTTCCTCGGCACGGGAAATATCAACGCGCGCCCCCCTTGTTCCATTTTTTCACTTTGATTCCTCATTCCATTCTTGTGGTTGTCGTGTGCGTTCCATTGTGTCCGGTGGTAATGGTGGTAAAAATTAAAATTTCAGATGTCGCAAAAAATCACTCATCCGTTGCATACTCTGCTTCACGGCATAGATGCAAGTTATTTCAAATCCGTTAACGCGGCGAGTTATTCGAAAGACATTTTCGCTATATTAAACGGTTTTTTATCCGATAAAAGTTACCTCCAGGGCCACAGACCTTCCCTAGTCGATTCGCAGGTCTTGGACGCTCTGGACGGTGCGAGTTTGACGATAACAGATTTGAATTCCGAGTTTCCCCACGTTACGAGGTGGTGGAGACACATCGATTCTTTAAGGTTGGACCCAATGTTCAGGCGTTGTTTTCTTAACGATAGTGAGGGTCGAGTTTTTTACAAGGTGAGAGAGTTGCATGGAAAGACTTGACTGCGATAGTTTTTTTTTTTCTTTTTTTGTTTTTGTTTACTTCTTTAGTTTTGTTTTTAGTTAGAAACGTTTTTGTAGTGCTTCCTGTTTTGCTTAGTGATGACCTCTTATTTTTCATAATATTAACTTGATTACTTTTTTCGTTTTTTTGTTTTCTTTTGGCGTTTGAATTTTTTTTTGTAATTTATGGGATTGATGATTGACAAGCCTTGTCAACCTACAAGAGGTTAAATACTTTTTTTTTTTTTTTTTTTTAGCTTTCTTCACGTTTGATTTGTTTTTAAAGGTTTGTCAAATTAAATTGTTGAATGAAAACTAATTTTAAATAACTTTTTGATTTTTTATCAATAAAGGTTCTCTCGGATGCCAGTCCCATGGACAGATGGATACTGAGCAGGTTGTCCGCAGCCGTCGAAGCCTGTAATTCAGGTTTTGCAGCTTACGATTTTCCAAAAGTGACAACGGCTTGTTACAATCTTTGGTTGTACGAATTGTGCGACGTTTACCTGGTACCTGAATCGTTCATATTTATTGCGATTTCGAAACAGGTTTCGACCTTAAGGTTTAATCAACGTTTTTTTTTGTCAAATATAGGAATGTTTGAAACCGGTCATGTACAACGGTCAACCGAACGAAATATCTGCGGGAAAGCAAACGCTTTACACCGTGTTGGACGTGGGTCTAAGATTGCTTTCGCCATTCATGCCGTTCATAACGGAAGAATTATTTCAAAGGTTACCTAGGAAATCATCGTGGGAACCCCCGAGCATTTGCGTTACCCCGTATCCGGAAGTGGAGGAAAATTCATGGCGCGACGAAACCCTAGAAAAAGAAGTCGAGTTTATAATGAAAGTCGTACACGCCATCAGATCAGCCAAATCGGAAAATAACGTACCAAATAAAGTAAAAACGGAAGGTCGGTCTCGAACGTTGAAGAGAAAATTAAAAAATTTTTTTTTTTCGCGCGCGGGGGGGAGGGGGAACGATGACGATGAAAAATAATTTGTTGTTTTTTTTTTTTTTTTGCACGCAGCTTTCGTTATAAGTTCCGACGAAGATTTGTTGAGAACTTTAAAGAAATATTCGTTGATAATAACAACACTATCGATAAGTTCAACGATTCATTTCGAATCGAAACCGCCAACGGAATGTACCGTCGTCGCCATATCTGAAGAGTGTCAAATACATTTGCCGTTAAAGGTGAATTAAATAGTTTTCTAGTAAATTCCGACGCTCGTTCGCTAAAATAAATAAATAATTTTTTTTTACAGGCTTTGATGGAAAGTGGAAAAGATGGTACGACGACGACAACAACAACAACAACAACAACCGGAGAAAATAAATCAACATGATAGGATTTAATTGCGAGAAAAATAAAATAATAATAATAATAATAAATATAGGTGCTGCTGGACTTCACCGAACGAACGCTATTCATTAAATGATCACAATAATAATAATAATAGTTTTCCGACTGAATTTTTTTTTTTGTAACCAAGCCTAAACTTAAATTATAAAAGTTGAGGTTTTTTTAAATAGTATTTTTTAATCGTGAAATGAATTTTTATATTTTACCCTTTTTTCCCATCGGTTTTAGTGTTTGTTGGTGTTTGTTTTAACGTGGAAATTGGAAAATAATACAAAACAAACATAAATTTTTTTTTTCTTTTAAAAATAATAATATATTATTATTATTATTATTATTAGTAAGACAGAAGACTACTAATCGTTACATATGATGATGGTCACGTGATTTATTTATTTATTTTTTTTTTTTTGAAAAATTAATTATTATTATTATTATTATTTTAAGCGAAAATTTTTTCTTCTCTTCTTTTTTTAGTAACGACAGTTCCAGGTTTGTGTTGAGCATCGGGATGATTTAAAAGTTCCGGCGGACATGTCGATATGGGAGAAGATAATATAAGTTGTTTGAGATCGTAAAATAAACCCGAATCGTCTTTTGTGCAAAAAGAAACGGCGATCCCGTGTTTTCCAGCTCTTCCGGTTCTCCCGATACGATGAGTATAATCTAAATATAATCAAATTTAATTACATTTAATCATCAACATGTACAAAAAAAAAACTTAAAATTACCTTCGATTGTTTTAGCCATGTCGTAATTGATAACCATGGAAACATCTTTTATGTCGATACCTCTGCCGGCAACATCGGTGGCTACCAAAATGTCTTTGGTTCCGTTCTTTAGAGACGACAGAGCGTACTCTCTCTGTTCCTGTCCTTTACCTCCGTGAAGCGTGCAAGCATTGTACTGAAAGAATAATAATAATAATAATTTAGGTATATCACCCAATTTTTAAACTTTAAAGGAAACAAGCTAGTTTTGTAAAATGATGGAAATTATTACTCCTAATTTTTCGAGTCCTCTCGCCAGAACGTCTGCACCCTTCTTTTGATTGACGAAAATTATGACCGGAGGTTCGACTCCTCTTGCCAACAACTCGCACAATTTTCTACGTTTGTCTTGCTCCGACACTATGTGTACGATTTGTTCGACGCGTTCGACCGGTTTACCGACGGAACCGATGTAAACAACGGCTGGTCTTCTCAAATACGTTCTCGCTAATCTTTCGACAGCTGGAGGCATCGTTGCCGTAAACATAACAGTCTGTAATATCGAAATTCTTTGACTCGAGTGCCTGCATTAACTCGTCCTAACTGAAATTAACACTCACCTGTCGATATTTTTTTTTAGAATTGTAATTCGCAAGTAGAAACTTATCGTCTTCTGCTTCTTCCGTATCCGGTTTTAAATTAGTCACGGGCATGTATTCCAAGATTTTCTGCACGTCCGGCTCGAACCCCATATCGATCATTCTATCAGCTTCGTCCAAAACTATGTAAGTGCATTGATTTAAAACTAAATATCTATTTTCCAAAACGTCAATCAATCGTCCCGGAGTTGCTATGACAATCTGAAATGAATGTATTCATTCATTCATTCATTCATTCAATCATTCATTCTAAATTTTATTTATTTATTTAAATTACCTCACAACCGAGCCTTAATCTAAAACCTTGTTCTTCTCTACTCAGACCTCCCACCACTACGACCGTACGAATCCCTAAAGGATTACCAAATTTGTTTGTTTCTTCTTCGATCTGTTGTGCCAATTCTCTCGTAGGTGCAAGTATGATAGCATAGGGCCCTTGATCCGCGTCTTCCATTCGCTGTATTTTGGGTAACGATTGTATCCACATGATGAGCGGTATTAAAAATGCTAAAGTTTTACCGGAACCCGTTTCGGCAACGCCAATTATATCCCGATTTTGAAGACCGATCGGTATGGCTTGTCTCTGTATGGGAGTCGCTTCCGTATATCCGACCCTTTCGATAATATCTAATATTTCTTGAGGAATTTTAGCTTCTTTCCAATTCCTTATGGGATCCGGTATTTTTCCTCCTAAAAAAAAAATTTGTATGAATTTAATGAATGAATTAGTTATTATTTCATCAGCCTCTAATTTTTGTCACGAAAAAAAAAAAAATTTCTTTCAACCTTTAATCGTTATATTGTAATCTTCCCGAAATATTCTCCAATCACGTTCCGTCATTTCGTCCAGTGCTTTTTCCGACCAATGTCTGTCGTCCCATTTTTGCTTTTCTTCTTTTTTCCTCAATTTTTTCAACCTGACTTTTTCCTGTTCTTTTTCCGCATCAGTTCTACGCTTTTCTAAAAGTTCACCGTAAAATTTTGATTGATCTCTCTTTTGAGCTTTTATATCTATTCCAGCTATGTTTCCTCTACCGAAAAATTGTACCTGAAAAGATTAAATTTCCATTGTTTTTTTTTTTTTTTCTCCCAAATTGTACTAAAAGAATTTTTTGGTGACTTCCATATGTTTGATACCTGGTGCCTTTCTTTATATAGAGGATTATAGTCCAAAGATGTATCTTCTCCAGCATCCCAATCGAAAACAAATTTTCGATCATTTAATCGTCTAACTCTCCTTTTCTTTTTAACTATACCCAAATATCGTTCTTTGATGGCTTCAGCTTCTTTTTCTTTGTCTTTTATCGATTCATCCAAGTCTGCTTTTTTCGATAAGGAATCATTTTGACTTCTATCTTTACCTCTCCTACACAATATACATATTTTCAGGAATTGTAAAATAAGTAAACAAGTATAAATGGTGATAGACTTACCTAAATGAATCCTTATCTCTGTCAATATCTTTATCTCTTCTGAAGTCATCATGTCTATCCCGTTCGCTCTTATCATTTTGAGAATTCGATTGAGCACTCTTGCTAAATTCAATCCTTTTCTTTCTTTCTTCTTCTTGTTTTTTTCTCAACTTTTCCACTTCTTCTTGTCTCCTTTGTAAAGCCTCTGCCGCTCTTTCTTGCTTGCTAAGGAAAACAGGCTAGAAGCATAGTTTGATTACGATATTTTAATTGTTAAAAGCTAAATGGATTTTTTCCTTCATAATAATTCCCACATTAATGATAAGTTTCACATTAATTTAATATTTACTTTACTCCTTGCAGCTTCCTCTGCTTTTTTCTTTGATAATAACTCCTCTAAAGACAGAGGTTCTTTTTTTACCGCTGGAATCTCTTCTACAGGATCTGTTACTTCCTTTTTAACTGTTGAATTTGAAGATGATTGATCACTATAAAGTAAAATAGTTAATTAATGAAAAGATCAAGATTATAAACTTTAATAAGTCTTAAAAATTATCGAAATGACTTTTACAATCAAATGTAGGTAAAGTAAAATTACCTCGACTTAACATCCCTTTTGTATTTATCTCTGTCTCGACTCCTACTTCTACTTCTTGTTCTGCTTCTTTGTCTATCTCGTCCTTTATCTTTCTTTTTTGATTTATCTCTCTCCTACACATTATAATTTAAATTATCAATCGTATATATATATATATTAATTTAAATCAATATTCATGCAGGAATCCAAAAAAAGTGCCAATTGTTTTTAAGAAAGTAAGGTTATGAGGTCAGAAAGGAAATTTGCCTACCTTCGATTGACTTCTAGAACGTCTTCTTTCTCTAAATTTTTCATCTCTGTCTTTTTCACGACTCCTACTACGTCTTTTCTTATCCCCAGCCATATTTGAAAATGTTTTTTTTTAAATCACAAAAAAAAAAATACTTGGTATATTATCCAGTACCTTGTTGTTTACAAAACGTGGAAACAGATTGTATAAGCGAATTATTATTTGGCGTACTAAGATACTTAACATTATTATTATTATTATTATTATTATTTACAATATCTATGACTTATTACAGTATTTATTTATCTGCATATTTTCTTTCTTATTATTATTATTATTATTATTATTATTAATAGTTTAATCATGTTATTATGGAATTGATTTAAATTAAAAGGTTTTTTTTTTTTTACATTTTAATCGTTTTAAATATATATATACGCTTAATGTTTAAATATTGAAGACAAAGGAGAATGATATCATGTGATATCAATAATGATGATAGTAAATATTTACTTCGTACGGACTATGTCAACCACAATTTATTTCACATTTATTTATTTTTATTTAAATAATGTAATTATAAAAATACAAAGATAACGTTTGCTTTATTTGAAATTTTTTTTTTTTTTTTTTTTTAAATAATAAATTAAAATGGCAACACCGAACAATTCATATGAATCTGAATCTGGAAGACCAGAAGATGATTTTGAAATAATTGAAAATTCAAATGAATCTTTGTGCAACGTAACAGCCGAAACATATTTGAGTCTTCCAGAGGTATGAAAATTATGTTATTTATTATTTGAATTTACGATAATCGTAGATACGAAACTAATGTTTTTTTTTTTTTTTTTTTTCTTCCAGGAACTCTTAGATTCTTCAAGTATTTTAGATATAGAAAACGCAATTGAAAGTTGTAAAAATATGATTTTATCAATAACAGAAGATTCAGAACAAAAAAAATGGCTTGTAAGAAGATTAATAGAATTAAGGATAAGAATGGAAAACATGAAAGAAACTACGACTACGACTACTAATATCAATTATACAGAGTCTAACAAGGTTGTACTTGGTCATCATTTTTCTTTTCAAAGTTTTCCCAAATCGACTCTTCATTATTACTGTGATACATGCAGCGGTGTCATTTGGAACGTTTTACATAATTGGTATTTATGCTCAGGTATCTTAAAATTATTCGTCTCATACAAATATTTACTCGTTTAAAAAGTAACATGGTTACTATTTATATTTTGCGTTTATAAAGGAAATAAATAACAAATGTATTTTATTTGTTTATTTTTTTTAGAGTGTGATTACAAATGCCATGTAAGGTGTTTAAATTCCGTTTGTAGAGTATGTGCACATGTTATAATAACGGAAAAACCTTTATATATTTTCGATATTTGTCCAGAATCCGATGATGGTTTAGCAGATCAAAATTACAGATGCGCTGAATGTTTGTCTCATAAATTTTTTAGTAAGTATTAATATTACATTAATCATTTAATAAATTTTTTAATCAATCATTTTAAAATAATGATAATAATTTTATTTAAAGCTGGCAATAGAACATTTAACCTTGGAATATTATCTTACCTCGGCGATATGTCAGGTATCAACAATAAGATAATTAAAATTATCGAATAAGACGTTAAAATTTTTTTTCTTTTTTTTCTTTTTTTTTTTTTTCTCTCTCTATTCTAACATGCATCCAATAATTATAAAATTAATTGTAAGACATTTTGATTTAATGTAAAATTTTCTCGACAGGTAATAACACAATGGAGCCTAGATTATGCGACTACACTGGAAAATATTATTGCACGACCTGTCATTGGAATTCGACATCTGTGATACCTGCCAGGGTAGTTCTTAATTGGGATTTTGAAGAAAGAGTTGTTTGTAGGGCATCGAAACAAATTTTAAAACTTATGGCTAAATTACCAATACTTAAATTAGAAAAACTTAATCCCATTTTGTTTGCTTGCGTCGAAGAATTAGGAACCGTTAAAGTAAGAATTAAAACGTTGATTTTCAATGCGAATAACAAATGATAATATGACATTAATAATTTTTAGGAATTGCGTCAACAACTGATGCAAATAAAAAAATATTTAACTTCTTGTAAATTTGCACTAGAGGAACAGTTACTTTGGCAAACCAATGATAAACGTCACTTCATGGAAAATGAAGAATTGTATAGTTTACAAGATTTGTTGGATTTGAGATCGGGAGAACTTATCAAACACCTTAATAAAATAAAAGATAGTTTTATAAAACACATAAAAGAAAAATGTGAGGTAAATCGATATTCACATCATTTGTATTATAGTTTAAATTGCTTATTTTTCTCCACAAAAAATGATGATACATTAGTAAATAATTTATTTTTTTATTTGTTTTTAATAGGTTTGTAAAGGAAGAGGTTTTTTTTGCGAATTATGTAATGACACGAATATAATTTTTCCATTCGAAGAAAATGTGGTGTCATGTCGTCAATGTCAAACTACATTTCATTTTTCTTGCTATTTTCAAAACAGTCAAATTTGTACAAAGTGTAATAGAATTCAACAAAGAATGCCTAAAACCGATTTAGATTTTTTAAGTTAGGTAAAAATATTTTTATGAAAAATATAAAAAATTTAAAAAAAAAAAACATTAGCTAACTTTTATCGACTTTAAAATTTACTTTCTTTTCAGTTTACAATAATAATAATAATAATAATAATAATAATTTAAGAATAAAAGTATTAAATAACGATTAAATATCAAAGAAATTTAAATTTGTTAACTTCCGAGTGGTCATAATTGATAAGTACAATAATATTGATTTTACAAATTGAAATTTTTGAAAACATTTTTAAAATTTAATAATAATGAGAATGTTAAAAAAAAAAAAATAAAAAAATTTAATTATAAAAAATCTCTAGTCTAACCTTGTATAAGTTTATTTAACAAACTTTTTTATATTTGTTAGTTAATAAAGGATGGAACGTTTGAAAAAAATATATTTCGGTCATAAGCAGTTAAGTGGACTTCAAAATTTTTTTAAAATATTTATTTTGATGTAAAAAATTTCACATAAATTCTAATTATATATATTAAATTATAAATATCGATAAGACTTGCTCTGACATTTCTTTACTTATTTTAAAGTTTGTTAATGACACGTTTTTTTCTAGAAACTCAAGTGCACAGGCGTATAAATTAATGCGCGTTGTTAATGCGTAGAAAATATTAGGACATCAACACTTGTTTAATGTATATATTTTGAAATTGACAAAAAATTTTGTTAATTTATATAATTTTTTAGCAAAATTTGCTTAAAAAATTATTCCAAATATTTTTTATCATCAAATATGAAAGGAAAACTGAGATGGAGGCAAAGTGTTTTCTTCGTTCACCATAGTAGGGGCAATGCACTCTGGGTAAAAATTTGCACTTGGCGCATGCGCAATTCATTTTACAGTTGGATCTCGGCAGAAAATGGCGTCAACACAGTTTCTAGAGGAAGCGCTTAGTACTGACGTCGATGAATCAGCCGTGAATGCTTTAGTCGGCTCATTAGAGACGCAGTTAGTACCTCCTACTTCAGTTCAGAGCAATGCTGACGGAAAGGTGGTTCAAAATCATGTGAATAATACTATTTCAAACGGGGGCATTGTTCAAAAACACGGTGTATCAAATGAAGAATCAGAGGGATTAGTAAATAATGCTGGTGGTGTGATTCCTGATGGAAATTCAAATACAAAACAAACTCTTGTTCGGTCTACTAGTCTCGCGCATTCTGCTGTTGTTAATACAGTAGTGACCTCATTAAGTGGCTTGCCCATCAGTCAAATTGGACCAAATGTCATAACAAAATCAAGTGATGGTGTTAAAATAGTGACTTATCCCGCCGGGAATCAATTAGGAAGTCCTCAAGTTGTGAATATTAATAACAGAGTGTCATTCCCTCAAACAATTACTTTACCCAATGGTAGTATACCCAGCAGTGTGATAAGTTCAGTGCCCTCCAATGTACAAACAATAGTGACAAATTCACCTTTAAATAAGTCTCTACCTGGAGCAATTAATGTTATAAAAGTTGACCAAGGTCAACCTTCTGGTGCTACACTTGTTATTAAGACACCAGGCTCAGGTCCCATGACAGCAGGTAGTATGACATTAACCCAGGGCACACCTGGAACTACTGCAGCTCCTGGGATTGTTACCCTCGCAAAGCCTCTAATGGCAGGACAATCAGTGGGAAACACAGTTCAAATTTTAAATGTAAATGCTGTTAGACCCGGAACTCCTATTCAAGGACAGAAAGGTCTACCTCAGCATAGGGTAGTTATCAATTCTCCACAAGTGATAAGCCGTCCAGGAGCACCTAATCAACCTACACAAATAACACTTTCCCCATTGCAAGGATTACAACCGGGTGGTAGTGGTCATATTTTAGTTAAAAGTGAAAGTGGTCAATTACAGTTAATAAGGATAGGACCAGCTCCAACGGCTACTCCTGGAGCTCCTAGTGGTACAATAGCTTCAAATAATGCATCCCAGTTTAGAATTCAATCTTTACCTGTACAGCAAGGGGTGAGTATATTAAAATTCTTGATTAATTCATTATATTTTTAATAATTTATTATTATTCTTCAAACTTTTTTTAAAGTATTTAGTGTGCTATATATAGTATTGCTGAAAATTTATTTAAAATTGTTTATAGAGTGGCTCGACAGCAGCAGTTGTTATCGCAACCAGCACTGCTGGTTCTATACAGTCTTCTCAACCACCAGGGCTTACAGCAACTACTCCTGTAAGTACTAATTAATTTTAACTATTAATTTTAGAGTGGTGTTATTAATATTATTTGTAATAAATGTTGCTGAAATTGAATTCTAAAATTTTTTAAAAGTAATTTAAAAAGTGAACGATTTTTTATTTGAACTTTGTATTTAATTTCTACATTTATTTTAAGAGATATTATTACTGTTAATCTTTAAATAATCTAGTTTCATTTTTATATAAAGTTTTTATTGTTATTTTATTTTATTTTTTTGTAATTTATTTCAATTAATAAATTGAATTTGCAATTTATTAGTTTAAGTGTAATAATTTGAAAAAACATTTGTTTTTAAGAAACAGCAAATGGATACTACCAAAGAAAAATGTCGAAAGTTCCTTGCAAATCTATTAGAGTTGTCTAGTAGGGAGCCTAAAGCTGTTGAAAGAAATGTTCGAACCTTAATTCAAGAATTAATCGATGCCAAAGTCGAACCTGAAGACTTTTGTGACAGACTAGAAAAACTATTAAATGCTTCTCCTCAGCCTTGTTTAATAGGATTTTTAAAAGTTTGTATTTTATACTTTTTAGAGTGAGAATAATGAACAAATAAAAATAATTATAATACTTATTTTAAATAATAATGAAAAAAATTTTTCATTCACAGAAAAGTCTCCCTCTTTTACGTCAATCTCTGTTTTCAAGAGAAATGACCATAGAAGGAATCAGACCTCCACCACAGCAAGTTGTAAGTACAACTGCTAGTGTTGCCCAAGTGCCACAAATGCAGGTACGATAATTTCAAAATGGACTTTAAATTTTTCACTCTTGAACAAGAAATGAATTTTAAAAAAAAAAAATTTTTTTATTTTATTTTATTTTACAAAAGGCTCAATTGAGGCCTCAAATGGTAACTCAAACAGTCAGGGTAGTTGCGCCACTTAATGCTGCAGGTCAGAATATTAGTGTCACTACTCCTAGAATGGGAACCCTGCAAAATAGGTTTGTCACTGTAAGTTTTCCATTATCTCTATATTATATGGATTTATAAACTTTTGAAAAATAATAATAATAATACGAAAAAAAAAATTTATATTTTTTTTTTATTTTAGCCCATTAGAGGACAAATACCTGCTCAAGGTAAAATAATCGCGACATCTATTCGCGGTCAAACTCCTTTAGCAACTTCAACGCAACCGCCTCCTCTTCATCATACAACGCCTATATCATCCCAGACCCCGTCATCGCCGCCGGTTCATCAAATACGGCCGACAACTCCTGCAAGGGCAGCTGCACCAAAAAACCAAACGACTAAAACTCCCGTAAAACAAGTTATTACCAAAACCACTGTTCAAACTAAATCAAATGCGAATAATTCTAGAAGTATAAATGTAATTGCAAAACCGAGTACTCCTTCCGTAACAAATAAATCAATATCCAAAGTTATTTCCAAAGGGGGATACGAAGAACTTAAGTTTGGAGCAACAAGTTTTAGGTAAAAAAATTTAAAAAAAAAAATTTTCTTCTTCTTCGAGGAGTGATAAAAATTATTATTATTATTATTATTATTATTGTAGTGGAGACGATGATATCAACGATGTGGCCGCCATGGGTGGTGTAAATCTTGCGGAAGAAAGCCAAAGGATATTGGGTTCAACACAATTTGTGGGTACTCAAATTCGATCGGTTAAAGATGAAATATTTTTACATTCAATACCGTTGCAAAATAAAATTAGGCAAATAGGTGAGCGTTACTCCTTTCTGCGTACGATTCTTCTTTATTTTGAAAAATGGAAAATATTTAACGAGGTTTTAAAAAAAAACAAAATTTTAGTTTCTAATCACGGATTGGACGAACCGAGTTCAGAAGTGGCATCTCTGGTGTCTCACGCGTGCCAGGAACGATTAAAAACATTAATAGAAAAATTAGCTTGCATAGCAGAGCATAGAATAGACGTTATTAAGGTGATTTTTCATTTCCGCTACGATCGGAAAAAAATGTTGTTTTATCGATAAAGAAAAAAAAAAAAAATTGAGTTTTTTTTTTTTTTTTTACTATTAATTAATTATTCATAACAGTTGGACTCGAGATACGAAGTAGTACAAGATGTTAAGGGTCAGCTTAAGTTTTTAGAAGAACTAGATAGAGTCGAGAGAAAAAGACACGAGGAGCAGGAAAGAGAGCTTTTATTGAGAGCGGCAAAAAGTAGATCAAAGTCTGAGGATCCCGAACAAGTGAAATTAAAGGCCAAAGCCAAAGAAGTAAGAAGCGAGTCTGCATTTTGTTGTTGTGTCGAGAGGGAGTTTTTAATTACGGACGATTTTTCTTTTGCAGATGCAAAGAGCAGAAATGGAGGAGCTTCGACAAAGAGAGGCCAATCTCACTGCACTTCAAGCTATAGGACCAAGAAAAAAACCAAGATTGGACGGACCTGGAAATTCCGGGGATGTAAGTATTTCTCGACATTTTTCAATTGATTTTAAAAAAGAAAATTTGTCGTTTTTTTTTTTATTTATTCTTTCTATTTTTTCAGGCATCGGGTACGGGATCATCGGGTACGCTTTTCGGACGACCGCATCTGCCTCTTAGACCACGTTTGAAACGGGTCAACCTTAAAGATTTGTTATTTTTATTGGAACAAGAAAAAGAAACATCAAAAACAAACTTGTTATACAAAGCGTATTTAAAGTGATAGCAATTGAGCAATCGTCATCGTCCGAGTCTGATTTATTGTGCATTTTAATCGATAATTTTATACGTCGTATATATACATGCATATATATATATATATATATATTTTTTTTTTATTATCACGAACCCCTATCTCTGCCCCTGCCCCCTGCCCCCCCCCCCCCCGGCAAGCACGTTTTAACATGATCGTTTATTTTATTGTCTAAACTGCGATTTATCGACATACAATTTTATTATTATTATTATTATTATTAACATTATAATTTTTTTAAATAAAGTGCAAAATGATAATTGATACAGATTTATATATAAAATAATTATTATTTATAAAGTTTTTGTTTTTTACAATTGTAATGTTAAAAAAAAAAAAAAAAAAAAAAAAAAAAAAAAAAAATTAAACGGATTTTTTTTTATTCGGTGATGATGATAATTATTATTAATTTTTGGCCTTTTAAATAAATAATTTTTCACGGGGAAAATTTAAAAAAAAATAATAATAATAATAATTATTAAAATGATTATAATTATTATTATGATTATTAATAATAATAATAATAATAATAATAATGACGAATTGATTGGAAATTATTAATTAAGAATTTTTTTAATAATATATTTAATTTGTAAATTATTTGATTGATTAAAATACTAAAAGGACAAAACAAACAAACAAATGTTTTAAATAATTTATTTTTTAAATTTTAATATTATTATTATTATTATTATTATTATTATTATTATTATTGGGTAAGGGGAGGGGCTTTTAATTATTATTACCGGCTGCGATTTCATTTTTTAAAAAAAATTAAAAATTAAAATAATTAAAAATGTTTGATAGGAAATTAATTATTGATAACGTGTATAGTAATTATAATAATTAAATAAAATAATAATAATAATAATAATATTTATTACGGATAAAAAATAATTGTCGCGATTAATATATATATTAACATAAAAGAAAAAAATGAATAATAATAATAATAATATAATTATTGCCTTTTGGATGCACATTTTATTTGTGTCACGTGATTAATGCAGTGTTCATCATTCCTCATAATAAAATAAATAAATAATATAATAAAATATATATATATATATTTATTGTAATTTTATCAAGTATATTAAAATATAAAGCAATCTCGAATGTTATATATATATATATATATGTGTGTGTGTGTGTGTGCGTGTGCACGTGCGTGTGCGCCGTTATAAAACATTAAAAAAAAATATATATAATTTTTTGTATATATTGTAAATGATTATATATATATATATATATAAATTTTTTTTTTATTTTCAAGTTAAAATATAAAATTAATTTGTATGTATTATTATTTAATTGTCAAATGATCAACCGGGAAAATTATTATTTTTAACAAAAAAAAAGGGAGAAAGAAAGAAGGGAAAAAAACAATAATAATAATAATAATAATATTAATGCTGAAGGAATTTTTAGTTGTTTGTTTTTTTTTTATTATTTAATTAATAATAAAATTTTTATTTTTTTATATTTTAAAAAAAAAAAATTGAGGACAGCAAATTTTGTTTGTTGTTTAAAAAAAAAAAAAAAATTAATAATAATAATAATAATAATGATAATGATAATAATGATAAAATTGTTTGTTGCTTCCTCGTTAAAATAAATGAACCTTAATCAGGTAGTTATTAAAAGTATCCCCCCAAAAAAAAAAAGAAAAATTAGTGGTTTTTAATTATTTTTTTATTTGTAATTTTTGTACATAAATATTAATAATAATAATAATGATAATGATAATGATAATTGATTGGTGACCGTTAAATTTTTGTTTTTTTTTTAATGCAAATTATAATAATATTTTATTTATTTATTTTATTATTATTATTTAATTTTGAAATTTGGGTTTTTATAAATGATATAATAAGTTTTTTTTTTTTTTTTTTAAAAACAAATTCTTATTATTATTATCGTTATTACCAAAAATAATAATAATAATAATAATATTTTATGGAATTTAATATACATGGTGGAAAAATATAAAAAAAAAAAAGGAAATTGTTTATAATGAGCTTTGTATATAAATAATAATTATTTAGGGTAGACATTTTTAGTGGATTAGAAAACCTTTCAATTATTATTATTATTATTATTATTATTATTATCATTATCATTATCATTATATTTTTTTTACTTTAAATTTATGATTTTAATTGTTTTAATTTTTTTTTTTTTTTTGTTTAATAAAAAAAAGGAAAAGATTAGAAATAATGTTGATAGTAATAATAATAATAATAATACTAATATATTTCATTTTGTTTTTTGTTACCTTAGATTTAATTTTTTATAAACAGGAAAAAAAAGCGCGGGAAAATTTAAACCAAAAAACTAAAAAAAAAAAAAAAAAAAAAATGAAAAAAAAAAGGAAAAATGAAAATTATTATTATTATTATTATTATTATTATTATTATTATTATTATTATTACCATATTTTTTTTGTTCAAATAATATTGTTTAGCGTCATTGTTGGCCAAATTATTATTATTATTATTATTATTATTTTTGCATTGTTTGTTTGTTGATTTGTTTTTTCTTTTTCATTTTTCATTTTTTATGTAAGGCAGGACTCAATCAATCATGATTATTTATATTATTATTATTATTATTATTATTATTATTATTAAAAATAAATAAAAAGTGGAATAAGAAAATATGGATAGTGGGGGAAAAAAATATTTTAATTAATTTAATTAATTTTAACGAAGGTTTTTAATTTTTACGATCGTCACCTCCACCACCACCACCATCATCATCATCATCATCATCATCATCAGCAACATCTGAAGTCGCAGCCTCTTTAATAATTATTTATTATTATTATCATCATCATCATTATTAATTATAATCATTACCTAAAGTTATTATTATTTTTTTAATTGTAAATATTTGGGATTAATTTTAGTTTTTCGTTTGAAAATAATAAACGATGGGCTTAACTCCAAGTGGTAACAATTGTTAATAATGATAATTTGATAATAATAATAATAATAATAATGTTAATATCAATTCTAGTCTGTTATAAGAAAAGCAAACGAGAAGGGGGGGGAAGGGGCGGGAAAAAAAAGATCTCAAATTTTTTTTTGTTTTTTGTTTCAAAGGCCTTAAAACACAAAACGCTATATATACATAAATAATTTCATTGTTATTATTATTATTATATCAACAATACCGTTTGTTTATAATTTAAATTTTTGTTTTTTTTTTTTTATGCGTGAATGCGTACACGCACACACACACACACACACACACATTATATACGTGAATAAAAAACCACCGTTAAATGTTTTTTTTTTTTTTTTTTTAAATGAATCGCAGTTTTTTTTTAAACGTACTAAATGAATTTTTTTTTTTTTTTATAAATTAAAAATAATTTTGTAAATTGAATATAAAAAAAAAAAAAATATATCGCCTTATTTATTATGTATTTGTACATAGATACATAGATACATAATACATAATATAAACAAGTGGTTATATATATAAATAACGACGTCCCCGACAGAGTAATAAATAAATAATTAAATAAATTAATAAATTTAAAGGATTTTAATTATTGTATGTTGGCATCCTTTTGTTACACATTTGTCAAAAATTATTATTATTATCACAACTACTACTACTACTACAGGTATTTTAAGGTTTTCTTATCATTATTATTATTATTACTATATTTTACAGTTTTTCTTTTTATATTTATGTATTTCTGAGTGTTTTGTGTCACTTTTCAACTTCAAGATTGTTTTTATTATTATTATTATTATCGATAAAACATTAAATCTGTGATTTTAATAATATATGACAAAAAGGATGCTGGACAAAAAACTTTCTTTTTTTTTATAATTTGATAATGATAATAATTTGATAACATTATCATTTATATTGGAGAGATAAATTGAATGGAGAAAAAAAAAAAATTTGTTGTAAATTTTTATTCGTATTAACAAAAAAAAAAATTATGAAAATTAACTTCATAAATTATTATTATTATTATTATTGTTTGTAATAAAATTAATGCAATCATAATATGATAGTTACTTATAAATAAATTTAAAAAAAAATTATGATAATAATCTGTCAAATAATAATAATAATAATAATAATATGTTAATTTATTTTTTCTAATGAAAATAAAAAAAAAAAAAAAAAAAAAAAAAAAGGTAAATAGTTATAGATGATGGATTTGTTTTCGGTAAAGTTTTATACATATATTTGTTAAAAAATAATAATAATAATAATTAATTAATTAAAAAAAAATTAATTAAATAATACATTTGAAAATATTGTACCCTTTTTTTTTCTTTAAGTTAAATTTTCCAGTCTTGTTTTTTCTTATAAGGAGCTTAAAAAAAATTTTTTTGTGTTGAATCTGCGACTGAATAATAATAATAATTTTTTGTTTTATTTTACAGATGGAATGCTGCGTGGCACAAAATATGCAATCATGTGATTTGGTTCCTCCATGGATTTGTACTGTTTGTGATAATGTACATGGAAATTACTTCGAGGAATGGTTTAATGGCAAGAGGAAAAGAAAATTACATATTTTTTTCTTTAACGACAAATTTATATTGAAATTATTAGCATGTTTTGTAAGTAATATGTTTAAAATTATTTGTTTTATATGTTTTTTTTAAATGTAAAAAAATAATTTTTATTTTTCAGTCACATTTATATAAAATAATAACAATTTAATTAATTGTATGGAAAAAATATTATAAAATCTTAAATCGATAACTGTCAAATCACATGTTTACATAAAAATTTGTGCATTTACTATGATGATGAATTATCGGAAGATTTTTTAGATGAGTTTTTCTTTCTTTTTTTCTTACTCTTTTTTTTTTTGTGCTTATGTTTTTTATGTTTACTTTTTTTTTTCTTTTTTGCTGCCGGTTCACTGAAATCACTTTTGGATGAAGATAATGATGATGATGAGGATGCGGATGATGAGGATGATTTTCGTCTCTTTTTAGATTTCCTTTTTTTTTCTTTTAATTTTTGTTTTAATTCTTCTAACTGTAATGCGGTAAGTGGAGTTAATGTGTCGTCTTCGCTTTCGCTACTTGTACTGCTAACGTCTAAAACGATATCTTTATTCGGATCAACTTTAATAAAGTTACGGCACTGATACGTCAGGTGACCTGAATATCCACATTTTTTACAAGAAGCTCTAGACGCTTCCTTAGATACTCCTTTCATAACAAATTCCTGATACATTTTAATTTCTTATAATATTTAAATAAAAAAAAAAAGTAAGTATAAAACGTAATATGAATGTTTATATACAAATATATTAGTAGCAAGTATTACATTGACGACAGCAAAAATATCGAAAATTATTTGCTGTCGTTAAATAATATAATAAAGACTTTTAATTTCTAAAATATTTTTAAAACGAATACATATTATTAAAATTTTATTCTACAAACTAAATATAAACCTATCTTTAAAAAAAAGTAAAATAAATGAAAATAATTTGCTACTACAAAAAAGCGCGTTATTTTTCAAAAGTTGGCAGCACACGACGTTCGAACAAGTTTCAAATATGTCATATAATCGTTAATTCGTTAAAACAATTTATTTTTTTGGTTTTACTTATGATTAATCAAAAAACTGTAGGTTTAAAAGTTTTTAAATTAACATCAAAAAAAACTTGAGTATTTTTTTGTTTTACACGAACAACACGAACGTTTTAAAACATGAAGAAAAGAAAAAAGTAGGGGAGTACATTTGACGAGGATACCATAATCTGTAAGAAATCCGTTTTTATCATTTCTTTAAGGGAACAAGTAATTTTTGCATTAGTAATTTACAATAATAAAAAAACTCAAATATATAAACAAATAAGGACGTTTAAGTAAAATTTAAGTCTTATTAAACGCTATTATTATTCTTAATAATATTTTTTTAGTTTTTATTTGGCTAGTATAAGTATAAGTTACTAGTGTAAGTATAATTTTTAAAAAAATTAACAAAAATGAGAGCAATAAGGTAAAAACCGAATTGATGTTATTTAATGATTATATTGAAAAAAAAACAGAAGTTAAAGTAAAATTTTGTATCACATAACACATCAATCGAATAAATAAGAAGAAATTGCCTTAGGGTTATCATTATATATCCTTTTTAAATCTTATATGTGACCTCACACTTTTTGTTCGTTTTAATTCAAACATTTTTTTTTTTCGTTTAAAAAAGAAATATTTGTAAAAATTTAAATATGTATATTTTGTTTTAGTTGATTATCATTTAGTATGTGGGTGAAAATTATCTATTTTAGAAGAAGAAGAACAAGTTTTTTTAAAAAACCCCTTCATATTTAAAAAAAGGAATTAATTAAAAAATTCAATGTCGTTTAAACGACAAAGAAAAAAAATAAAAAAAATGAATGTAGGTGGTGGACTAAAGTGTGAACGGTTACAATCCCTAAGGCATTCTTCTCATGTAATTCGGTTGACAAATTTACAATACTTTTAATTACACATACACACCATAATAATAATCATTTATTTCTTGTTTACCAACATCTTCTTATTAAATACAAAAATTTTCGATAAAATCAGGATAAATTTTTGTAAAATTTATCCTCAAGGCAAAAAATCAACCAAAAAAAAAAAAAAAACAAGGTTTTTTAAAATTTCTTATTTTTTTTTTTTTTGTTTGTTATCCATTTGTTTTTTACATTAGAATAACAACACGAGTGATAAATAATAATAATTAAGTACCTTAAGGTATAAAAATTTATTTAATTTTTTATTTGTTTGCCAATGGGTGGTGGTACACACCTACTATATTTTGATATGTTTACTCTTTTATTTGGCGTTTCCCAAAAAAAAAAAAAAAATTATTTCTTTTAATATAATTTAAAGTGTTACCTTTTTTTTTGTGTTTTGTACCCTCGAGGAAAATAACACTAAATTGTTTTATTCTGTTCACATTAAATTATAATAATAATAATAAAAGAATAAGATCGCATATCTCCCTGGTATTAAAATGTGAAATGAAGAAGGATAATAACCTAAAGAAGAGGACAATAAAAAAATTGGATCACCTTAAAAAGACATATAAACTGAAGACCAAGGAAGATATAGAACTCAACGTGGAAACATTAAAACAAAAGGTGTTGCTCTATTCTCAGAGAATAAGGAGATATAAGAAGAGAGTCCCGGATTAGATAGGGTACAAAACTTTTGGATCAAGAATTTTACAGGTACCCATAAGTATTTAGTGATATCCATAAATAAATTAATCATGGGACAGCAAGAAATGCCAGAATGGATAACCACGGGGAAACGTATTTGTTGCCAAAAAAATCAGCATGGCATTGATTGACTATCAAAAGGCCTTTGATAGTGTGCCTCACGAATGGATTATTGAGGCATTGAAAATATATAAAGTAGACCCTAAAATTACAGCGTTCTGCGAGAAGAGTATGAAAAATTGGTGCACCCAGCTGGAAGTGTAAAAATACTCTTCTAGAAAAATATTTATAAAAAGAGGGATTTTTCAGGGAGATTCACTGTCGCCTCTTTTATTCTGCATGTCTTTAATTTCTCTGTCCAGACAGCTTAATATCAAAGATCATGGATATGAGTTGGTACCGGGAGGCAGAAAAATCACCCATATGCTGTATATGAAATACTTAAAAATTTATGCCAAAAATGAAGAGGAGTTAAATAAAATGCTAAGGACGGTTCAAACTTTTTCCTCTGACATCAACATGGAATTTGGTTTGGAAAAATGTGCCAGAGGTAATATTGTCAGAGGAAAGTTAAAACGGAAGGAAAATATAGAAGACTCCGAAGAAGAACTTATTAAAGAATTGGACCCACGATCAACATACAAATATCTGGGGATTGAAGAAAATTTTGGGGTAGCCAACAAGGAAATTAAACCGCGATTAAAGAAAGAATATTTTAAAAGATTGAGGCTTATATTACAGTCGGAACTGAATGAAAGAAATAAGTTAAACGCCATCGGCACATTAGCAGTTCCAGTAATAGAATACAGTTTTGGCCTCGTCGATTTGACAAAAGAAGAAATTACGCACCTGAACCGAAGAACAAGGAAAATGTTAACTATGAATGGTACGTTACATCCAAAACCTGATGTGGATAGATTGTACGTCAGCAGGAAAGATGGAGGAAGAGGATTACGACAAATAGAAGCAGCATACCAGAATGCCATAATTGGAATGGGAAAATACATGGAATCCCATCAAGAGGACCCTATCTTAGCTCAAGTTATATATACGGAAGAAAAAATTAGAAAAAAAGGAGTTCTGAAAAGGGCAAAACGAATCTTCAAAGAAAATAAAGAAAACGAGATAATGGAAGAAGGGCAACTTGCAACTTATGATAGCAAAGCCGAATCTCAGAAGAAATTAAAAGGCAAAAGGGAACAGAAAAAGTTGCATGGGCAATATCTAAAAAGAGTAAATGCCGAAGATATTAATAAGAAAAGCACGCACAATTGGCTACGACGTGGAAAACTCATAGTTGAAACGGAAGCGTTTATTACAGCGGCTCAAGATCAGGCATTGCGGACCCATAACTATGAGAAAGTAATTCTCAAAGTCCGCCAAGATGACAAGTGCCGAATTTGCCAATCCCAATCGGAAACCATCGACCATTTAATTTCCGGTTTCCCGATACTGGCAAAACATGAATGTATGCCGAGAATATAGAATGGATGGATTACCTGAGGAGTGGTACAACCACATTCCAAACCCGGTTACGACAGTAGGCCCATGCACAGTTCTGTACGACCAACAAATCCACACTGACAGAACTGTGCCAGCTAAAAAACCGGATATCATCCTCAGACATAATGCGGAAAAATGGCGTAAATTAATTGAGGTATCCGTGCCGGCAGAAAAAAACGCGAGACAGCCAAAGAAGCAGACAAAAGGCTGAAATATAGAAATTTGGAAATTGAAATAGCCAGGATGTGGGGAACAAAAACTGAAACGATTCCGGTCGTCGTGAGAGCAACACCGGGAGCCATGCCACATTCAATGTAAGGAAATTTAAAGAAAATTTTGAAGAACCTACAAGAAGAAACCATCCAGGAAATCGCACTATAAAAAAATTTTTTTTTTTTTTGATTGGAATTTTTATTAAAAAATTGAAAAAAAAAAGTTTTGTAATAATAATAATAATATTAATGATGATGATAATAATAATGAGGAGGAGGAGGAGGATAAAACGATAAATATTAAACGGGTGTTGTTTGAATGATATAATAATAATAATAGTAGTAGTAGTAGTAGTATCGACGACGATTGTCAGGAGTAAAAAAAAAAAAAAATTTTTTTTATTTTTTAATATATGTTGTTATTATTATTATTATTATTATTATTATCATTATTATTTTTCTTTGTAAATATTTTATGTCGTAAGCGTTAATGAAAAAAACCTTCAGGCACTTATTCAACTATTGTTTTCGAAAGGTGCCTTTAAGGTTTTTAAAACTCTTTCTTCTTCATTCATCTTTCATTTCTGTCTGTTTTCATCAACTTTGTTTCATCATCTCCGGCATCTTTCTTTATTAGATTCAAAATCACACACACACACACACACACACACAAAAAAAAAAAAAAATTTTTACTTAAATTTAAACAAAAATCAATGAAATTTTCTTATTTTATTTTATTAAAAAACAAAAAAAAGTTATTATTTCTTTTTTACTTTTTATAATAATAATAATAATAAGAGTATAAGGAGTGCATCAATCAGTTAGTCAGAGTCTACCTAGTTGGTCCATCATAAGCAGACACACAACCGGAGCGTCAAAGTAGAAGAGAATTTGATTTTCTTACAAGTGGAATTAGAAGCATCAATTTTTATTTTCACACTTGGATTCCTGTTTTGTGTTCATGTACGACACGTTTGGGACACGAAGTAAATACTGGAGCGATCAAGATCATTTTCCTCTTTCAAGAATCATAACATATAAATTGTCGGTAGGATACTCTCCTTAGGGCACCAAGGAACCATAAAACAAACTGGCAAAAACAGCGAAAGAAAAAAAAAATCCTTACCAATGAATATGGATAAATCAAGAACTCCTGCTATATCCTTTATTAATGAAGACAAAATCTGCGTAGGCAAAAAAAAAAACCTGGACATTTAGAGGATTTGTTACTTTAGGAAAAAGAACAATGAACGACGGGAAAAATACTATTATAACATATTTTG